AGAGACTCCAAGACCTGAAATTGGTGTGTCAGAGAAAGGAGACATGCAAAATGAGCAGTGTTGGTGTGCCTCCAGGACCAGGGTTGGGAACCACTTCTCTAACTGAACTGGCTAAATAATTTTTGTTACTATAAAAAAATCTAAACGACGGTGGGGGGCGGTGCCGCGGTAGGCAAATGACGTTACCGGTGTTGCGGCTTAACACCGGTATAACTGAAAACACCGTCTATCGCAGCAAGCCTAATGTAGATGAGCGACCCAAAAACTCAAGACACGAGAAAATCTCTCACAGCGCTGGGAAAATCAATCCCTAAACACTCACTCGCCCAATAACTGACAGAATCTCACCTATATACTCCAACAAATGACACGTCACCACTTTGCTTTCTGTTAGTGGAGTATAGTATAATATACAAACATGTGAACACAAGTCCAGCTTCAATCTGCATTTCACGTGTCAGAAACATATAAACATGCCACTCATTCCTGTAGAGCGTGGAAAGCAACACCAGGGTCATGGGTTCGATTCCCAGGGAATGCATGAACTGGTCACATGTGTGCCTTCAATGCAATGCAAGTATTTGTCAAATGCATAAATATAAATGCAAATATGCTATAGCGGACATTAGTGTAAACCGTCTTCCTCTACAGCTTTTCTCTTATTCTGGAGCAACAGTTTGTAGAGAGTCTTGACAAACAATTAGTTATAATTGGTTACACATAGGGCTGGGCGATATAGCTAAAAAATTTATCAACGATATAATGTTTCATATCGTTTGGAATTGATAATTATTGACATTTTTTTATAACCTTTTTTAAAACAAAGAGCAATATACATTTCTTTTTTTAAATTTAACCACTGTATTTTTAAATTAACCCAATTTATTGAGACAAACAACAAATAATTTTTGTTTGCCTATATCGAACATTTTTTTCTATCGTTATCGAAGAAGGTGTACCGTCGATAAATATCGATACCGTTTTATCGCCCAGGCCTAGTTACACACTTTACATATTAATAACAGCTGAGCTGAATTTGGTTCAATGGCACAAACGTTTAAGGAAACTCTATTAGCAAAGACGATGGATGCAATGCAGAATGTTAAGCATGATGAGACTCTGTTTGTGATGATCTGCATTGGTTCTCAACTAGCGAATAATTCTTAAACTAATTTCCATTTAGTTATATTAACAGTATCTCAAAATGCTAAAAACAGAACACAAAAACAAGAACCACACTAAAAATTAAGATGTTAGCCATTAAAGTGGCATTTCTTTTTAAGTTTATTCATTTTTATTACAACAGAAGAACCAGCGGTACATATCAGCGCAGATATGTTTTTGAATACGGTCTCTGGATTTATAAAGGCTGAGAGCGTGTTTCTGACGCATCTCTGCAGATGTTTATATGATTACGGACCACAATAATCCTGTGTGAAGAACATCATCAGCTCACGACACGGACCACAATGAACAAACCCGTCCTGAGACCAAACCTGAACCCCTCAGGCATTCAACAGTGAAGTCAGTGTTAAATCTCCTCAGCATCAGCACAGATTTAACACGATCACCTGAACAATACAGCACAAGAGCTCCAAAGTCCACAACAACAAAACGTCCCTCAAATCCACTGGAAGCTCTGAATCTGCTCTAAACTTCAATGAAGTCATTCTCATAATGGTAAAAATAACACCGCAGGAACTTTTCTCTTCACTAACATCACTTTTCTTCATTATGTTTAAAGTCTCGGTCTCTTTCAGGCTCTTAAAAAATAAAACTTCTTTATTGGCATCGATGGTTGCATGAAGAACCTTTAACATCCATCGATTCTTTTCATTGGAACAAAAGCTCTTGTGATTATTTAGAAGTTCTTCACACAAAGTTCTTTCATTGTCTAAAATGGTTCTTTTAAGGCATTTCTGTGAAAACCACCTTTTGCATCCTTTATTTTTAAGATCTCACATTAATCCGAATGAATTCTGAATATTTCGTTTTAAAACTCTCTACATCTATACTGACGTTTTCAAGCCCCAAACAAAACATGGATGGATGGATGGATGGATTTACAAATACAGGCAAACCTAGTGTTGTCTTTTTAAAATCTGCACCTGTTTTGAGGTGTATTTGCTTCCATAACATGTCTTTTTCAGACTAATGGAAAGAAAACATCCAAAATACTCTTTAAGTGTTTGTTTTATTGAACTTTATAGATTTTTAATTGCAATTTAACGGAATACATTTTCTGTCATCTTTGCATGAATGCAAAATGAAAATTCTACAAAGTAACATTCGTCTCAACATTTATCGTTTGAACTTGCAAAGAAGGATGCACAAACACTTTCTTGTTTTGTATCTAAAAGAAAACACCATTTAGAGATTTGAAGTGCGATTTAATGTTCCGCGGCTTCTTTAAGCAGCAAAATAGAAAGGTGACGGCACGTCAATGAACCAAACAGACCAGATCCGACTGAACCGGCCTGCTGCGATCCACCTGTCAATCACACGGAGCGCTGAAGGCCGCAGGGGTTCGAACGCACACTAATGGAGTTCAATCAATGAACTCGACATCAGCTGAGTCCCTCTGAAAACACTGGAGCTCCACAAACAGAGCAGAACCATCAAAAGAAACATGTTTCTGATGATGATGATGAGACGACGAAAGACACTGTCACTGACAAAACTCAAAAAGTCTTGCTTTCAAACGCATCTCAGATGTTCCTCACAAAACAGTGATCAGATCCACAGATCATAGGGTTTCCACACTCATGATTCCTGCGATAACAAATCAAATCAATCCATCTGTATATAGATTACACTAACAAAACAGACATTTCTACATGACCCACTACAGTAGTCAACATTTGAAGTGGATCAAAAAAGTTCATCAAAGTTGTCTTAAGACAAGAGCACATGTTGGTTTTAGGTTTTAGGACAACTTTGATGAAAGGTTTTGACCCACTTCAAATGTTGACAAGTAAGTATATATATATATATATATATATACACTACAGAAACTTCCATGTCTTTTAAAGCCAGAAACTACAGGCAAAACTAGTGTTTTTTCATGCACTGGTCAATTTTGTGTTTTGAGGTCTATTTTGCTTCCATAACATGTCATTTCAGACCAGTGGAAAGAAAACATTCAAAACACATACCTTCTACTGACGAAAGCATTAGTTAGGCTAATATCTCTGCTCCATTCACCTGTAGTGTCTTGCCTTAAATATGCATGTTTTCCAAGCCTTAATTTTGTGTTTTGAGGTCTATTTTGCTTCCATAACATGTCATTTCAGACCAGTGGAAAGAAAACATTCAAAACACATACCTTCTACTGACGAAAGCATTAGTTAGGCTAATGTCTCTGCTCCATTCACCTGTAGTGTCTTGCCTTAAATATGCATGTTTTCCAAGCCTTAAAAAAAAGCATGCTTTGGTTTGGCAAGGCTGTGGAAACCCTGCTGAATGAGCAAGTGTCTACAATCAGATGTGTGCGTTTCCAAAAGCTGGTCCCAGAATCCTCCTGCTCATCCGGGTCGGGTATCTTGGCACTCACAGACGCGACAGACGGTCTCCTTGCATGCTGTTGTCTGGCTCTTTAAACTCCTGAGGCCGGATCTCCTCACCTCGTTTGCATCGTCAGCACACTAAACATGGGACTATGGCATTTCCAGGGCATTATTTACAGTATCTTGGAGTGCCATGCAAATATCATGGCATATAAACATTGTATAGATATGGTTACATCAGGTTTTTTGGTTTATTTAGGGAAAATTCTAGTAAACCGAGGCACTTTTCACCATTGAAATCAATGGAATGAATGAACCCTACTATAATATGGCAACATTATAAACGGCATATCATAATACTACCATGTTTTCTGGACAGATACTGGTGTAAAATAATGCTAATATAATTTTGCATGGAAATTCCATGCTGTATATCTATAACAATCATTCAGAAATGTGTACTACAGCAAACGATGAATGCCATCATCCAAAGTAAAGCAGATGCAACACCAACATCAGCTCCAGAAGAAGAGAAATCAGAGCTTCAGCTGTATGTTTTTATGCAAATGAGTCGTGCATGATAAATACAGATGAATGCATTTGTGATGCGAGATGCTGAGAGAACCACGCCTGCAAAACTCCACATGCACATCACCTGTGATCAGCAGCTTTATTTCACGCATCTGGAACTTCACATGCAAGCGGCAGAAATGCAGTGTGTGTGTGAAATCACTAATGCATGAGCACAAACACACAACGGGCTGAAGGGAGAACACGGGCGATCAGCTGACAGCAATCGGTCAATAATCAATGTGAAACGCGACCGGATGATTATAGATGCATTAAACGCGTCGATGAACGGAGACTCACCCAGCGAATATCGCGCATGAGCGTCTGCTTCTCTTCAGAGGGTTTGGGCTCCGGGTTGTTCCGAGCATGCAGTTGTTGTGGGTTTGAGATCAGACAGTGCTACTTGGGCCTGTGGAAGAAGAGGAAATGAAATGAGATGAAAATGTCGCTGCGCTCGAGATTCTAGCGCTTCCACTCCGGTTCGCTGCAGCTCTAGTGACGTCACGCGTGAGACGCGCTACACTGTAGCGGACTAGATGTGTTTTTTTTTTGTTGCAAAAATGCAGGCGTAATCGTTTATATTTATTTAATTAATGATTAGATGTGGTAATCCGCCAGTGGATTACTATAGGAAATACTATTATATCTGCAACTTGCATGACATTTATGAAAGAAAATCTGGAAATTGTCCCATAAACAAACGAAATCAAAGAAATATGATTATTCACAAATATGAAAGTAAGAATGAAAAAAAAAATTTTTTTATGTATCATGTGCTGTACATTTTATGGTTTGTATCCAGAAACCATATTTCCTTTATTTTGGAGCTGTCCTTCTGTCAGTTTTTAATGTTAAGTCTAATTTTTAACTTTGCTTTTAATGTCACAAATCAAATACACAAAAAATATTGTAAGTACAAACTTCCACTTTTTCCCCCAAAACAAGAAATCCAACAGTAAGCCTACACAATCTGAAAAATAAGAGAGCTATAAAACATGTCAAAAATTAATTTAAGTTACTTATTTAATGTATAATTTATTTTTGTATGCCCTGGCTGTAATCTGCATTATTTATATTTCATATAACCATCATCATCATCATCATCATCATCTCTCATTTAGCTCTATATGACACAGTGACGTCATTTTTTTAAATCCAACAGTAAGCCTACACAATCTGAAAAATAAGAGAGCTATAAAACATGTCAAAAATTAATTTAAGTTACTTATTTAATGTATAATTTATTTTTGTATGCCCTGGCTGTAATCTGCATTATTTATATTTCATATAACCATCATCATCTCTCATTTAGCTCTATATGACACAGTGACGTCATTTTTTTTATTAAACAATTAAATAATTTATTTCAGAAAGTAATAATCAAACTCGATGTATTATGTAGAAAACGATGCCACAGCCACACAAATAGAGTGAGATTTGTTTTACATTCTTAACAAAAGAACCTGTAAATAAATTGTATTTATTTGTTTACTTCGTCTTGCATGCTTACTGTAATGTATTCATATTTTTAAACATTTGATTAGATATTCGTATTGATTTAATAGTATTTCTGTAAAATATAATGTTATAATGCTGTGGCTGTACTTCTTACATGATCTGAAACTTCACTGAATAAATAACTCTGAATCCGAGTCTCAAATAAACTTTAAATCACTCTCATTCTTAACTCTAAACATTTTCTATTAAGTACTTAATATGAGATAACTACATATTCATTCAAATAAGCGAAACCAATCAGAGGCTCATTGGTCACGTGGTGTTGACCGAACGCGGAAGTAGCGCTGAAGTGGAATCGCTCGCCTCTCCAAACGCTCTTGGGCTCCAGCGCCGCCTCTGCGCAGTGCGCATGCGCCAAAGCTCCACGCCACACCGCGGCGCCGCTGAAACGCTTCACATCTGAATAGAAATCGATAACTTTCAGCACATGATGGAGTTCAGTAATGCAGCGTGTCAAAGTTCGACAGTGGCCTCTCAATAAAATGAAAGGTTTGATCACAGATTGACGGTCGAGATGTTTGCGACCCCTGCTGGTGACAGAGAGGAACAGCAGCGCGACTCTGTGATAGAAACCAAACAGTTCAGGAGTTAAAGAACAGAAGTGAAGTCAAGATCACAAAATAAAATAAATAAATACACACCAGACCACCAAAGACCACATTGGTCCAGAAACAGGCATTTATTTTTTATAACTGCATTTTTTTTTCAACTTTCCCAAACAACAACAACAATGAAAACGCTTGAAATCAACTGTGATTATAGTCCAGCTAACAAAAATGTTCTAAAACGTTTTGCCAACGTTCTCATTAAGTTATAAAACGCTATTTGTAAACGTTGTGAACGTTCAAATGTCCAGTTTATTTCTGGTTATGCAACTATTAAAGAAACATTCCATTTGATCATTTTGCTAACATTATGGGAACGTTACTTTTGAACGTTTTTTTCTGAACGTTCTGAAACAAGTAACATCTAAAAAAAAAAGGCTACATTTGGTCATTTAGCAGACGCTTTTATCCAAAGCGACTTACAAATGAGTTCAGTTACAAACTGTTTCAGAAACAAAGTTCCCTGAACAATGTATAAATGATGTTTCTGTGCTACTGGTTTGAGAACGTTATTAAAGACCTGATGACTTTGATCAAGCCTTCCACTGAAATCCTGATTCAAAGACGCTTCAGGAGTTTTGAAACCTGAATGGGTCTGAAAATAACTGCAAAATAGAATTTATTCACAAACAAAGAAACACTGAGACTCAAAGTGACTTCAGTACAAAACTAATACAGGAGTGTGTCTTTATTCTCACGATAAAGCAGAACAAAAATACTCGATGTCTGCTTAAATATATTTGAATAGACATAGATATGAAATGATTCTTATTAAACCTGGTGATGGAGTTCAGCAAAACACAAACCTCGAGCTTCATGAATAAATATAATGTTTTCTGACACATTAAAGCGTGCTGATTCTCAGTGAGGGTCTTCTTACATCTTACATCAAAAATACTCTTTTCATTACAGTGCATGTGAAATATCAGTAACACTGAGTTCTGTGTGATAATGTCAAGGTTATAATTTCACCCCCAAATCAAAAGAAATAAGACATTCTGGATTTTTTACATTTAAATTTTTTTGCATTGTGACATACATGCATAGGCTACATTTATTTATTTATTTGTTTATTTAATTTTCCAAATTCCAATACTGTAATGCAAAATACAAAAGGGATTAAATTAAAATTTTCAATTATCTATATTGATATTTAAATATCTTAAAAAATATATTTTTTATCTTAATATACATACATGCATATATATTCTAAAAAACAATCTTAATCTATCAGAACTGAAATCGTCACTCTTTTCATATTTCCCCCCTCAATAACTATAGCTTTTATTGAAGAACATGCAGTTTTTTTAATTTCTGGAATTATAAAATGTGTGAGTGGTTAACTAATTTAATATACTGACACTCACTGTTTTAAACCCACATTCTGACAAGAAGAAGATGGGTCAGTTACAGCACAAATACCTTAAAGGTCCCATATTGTCAAAACTGAAATTTCCTGGCTTTTTTCACGATTACTGAAGTCTAGGTGCTATGTAACTACCATATAAGTTTCAAAACTTGTGTCAGTCCACAGTAAAATGCGCACAGTCTGCATAAAGTAGCTGTGATTTTTCACGAACCGTTGTGACTTCTGTAAAAAGTTGACGTCAGAACTACACAGTCACTGCCTTCAGTCACCACCCCGAGC